ATGGAATATTATGCAGCCATCAAAAAATGAAATCTTGCCATTTGCGATGACGTGGATGGACCTAGAGGGTATTATGCTAAGTGAAATAAGTCAATCAGAGAAAGACAATTATCATATGATCTCAATGATATGAGGAATTTGAGAAACAAGACAGAGGATCATAGAGGAAGGGAGGGAAAAAAATGAAACAAGACGAAACCAGAGAAGGAGACAAACCATAAGAGACTCTTAATCTCAGGAAACAAACTGAGGGTTACTGGAGTGGAGGTGGGTGGGAGGGATGGGGTGGCTGGGTGATGGACATTGGGGAGGGCATATGCTATGGTGAGCCCTGTGAATTGTGTAAGACTGATGAATCACAAACCTGTACCCCTGAAACAAATAATATATGTTAATAAAAAAATAAAATAAAGGGACAAGAAAAAAATTTAAAAAAAAGATGTGGGGGCGCCTGGGTGGCTCAGTTGGTTAAGCGACTGCCTTCGGCTCAGGTCATGATCCTGGAGTCCCGGGATCGAGTCCCGCATTGGGCTCCCTGCTCGGCAGGGAGCCTGCTTCTCCCTCTGACCCTCCCCCCTCTCATGTGCACTCTCTCTCTCATTCTCTCTGTCTCAAATAAATAAATAAAATCTTTAAAAAAAAAAAAAAAAGATGTGGTGTGTGTATATAAAATGGAATATTATTCAACCATCAAAATGGATGAAATATTACCATTTATAATGGCATGGATGGAACTGGAGGGCATTATGCTAAGGGAAATAAGTCAATCAGAGAAAGACAGTTATCATATGGTTTCACTCATATGAGGAATTTAAGAAACAAAACAGAAGATCATAGGAGAAAGGAGGGAAAAATAAAATAAGATGAAATCAGAGAGGGAGACAAACCATAAGGAACAAACTGAGGGTTGCTGGAGGAGAGGTGGGTGGGGGGTGGGGTAACTGGGTGACAGGCATTAAGGAGGGCACATGATATAATGAGCACTGGGTGTTATATGCAACGGATGAAAAACTGAACTCTACATCTGAAATTAATGATACATTATACGTTAACTAATTGAATTTAAATAAAATAAGTTAAAAACAAACCAAAAAACACACATAAAAAAAGAAAATTTTATATTATTTAAATCAATTATTTTTCTTGAAATCTGTTTGGCAGGAAGATGCAGGTAAGCAAAACTGACTAACCTAAGAATTTTTAAAAGGCTTTAGGTATAAAAGGTTTGAACTTTTTCTCGGAGGCAGTAACCATAATTTCTTTTTCTTTCCCCTACTCTCTCTCCCTCCCCCTCCAGCAAAAAAAGTTTTACTGCTTTAAAATAAACTTTAAACAACTACTTTAAATATATGAATCCATGTATGTGTTTTATTATAAATGACAGGAAACATGAGACATTCCAGATGACTGTAATAAAAAAAGCAATTTATATTAAAAAAAGATATTATAGCAACACTTCAATGAGTATTGCTAAGAGACAGGAAAAGTATCATCTATTTAGTATATAAAATGCAGAACATATTCTTTCAATCTCAACTCATTTCATCTTAAAATAATGAATTCATCTTATGGAACTCTGGGAATAACAAGCAATTCATCTTTCCAAGTATGAGGGGAAGAATCTTTGTGAAAATGATGTCCTTCAGTTTTACCCTAAAGTTGGCAGCCCTCATAGTCACTAAAAAGACCTACCTTACAAGGCAGCAAAGTTTACCTTTGGCTCCTCTCCCACATCGCAAGACTCTTCCTACCTCCCCTCTCTTCCTGCCTCTTCTACGGAATGTGCTAAATTCCCTTGCTAAGAGTATCATCCCTCCAGACGGAGTGTATTGCCTGCGGGTGTCTGTATGTTTTATATGGGTCTTGAGGATAAATGCCCTAAAACTTAAGGAATTACTATCTTAGGAAAGTTATTGTATGCTTGTATATCATTTATTTAATTTTGAGTAGGTAATCTATATTTTTCATTAACTTAAAATCATAAAGATATTTACCATGAACTGTCTGCTTGTTTCAATTTTGTTACAAATTTTCCTGGTTCCCACTTATCTTACCAAAAAAAGTCACTTTTATTAGTCGCTTGTGTTCTTTTAGTTGTAATTTAAGCATATATAAGAAAAATAAATATATAGTCTCTCTTCTTCCTCACTGTTTTTTACTCAGATATAAAATGATATACACAGTGTTTTTTATGTTGCCTATTTTTAAAATTCACAATGTATTTTGACAATTTTGCATTCACTCAACTACATAGTAAATTTGTCTTTTAAATTGCTAAAATATGATTTATATTAATAAGAATGTATGGTTCTAAGTGTAGTTTAAATATTAAAGAGAATCATAATACATAATCAAGTTGCATAATGAATCGTCAGGTTTTTTTCCATTGGTGGGCAACTCTGAGTCTATAAGGTAACATCTATAAGTAATAAGCAATTATCCTTCGATACAAGATCAAACACATTAGATACACACTCAGAAGTAAACAGAAACGCTATTTTTTAAAAAATAATACATTTTTAACAAACATATGTATTTGACTCAAGTGAAATATATCACTTCTTAATAATTGCATGTTTAGTGTTATTACAGAAATAGCTGTTTTATGCAATACCACAAATCATAAAATGAGCATGTGTGTAAAAATTTTCCAATCTAGCAGAAGGCAAAGAACACTAGACTGCACTTCTAATCAAGACTTTTTTTTTTTAAGATTTTATTTATTTATTTGAGAGAGAGAGAATGAGAGAGAGAGAGCACATGGGAGGGGGGAGGGTCAGAGGGAGAAGCAGGCTCCCTGCCGAGCAGGGAGCCTGATGCGGGACTCGATCCAGGGACTCCAGGATCATGACCTGAACCGAAGGCAGTCGCTTAACCAGCTGAGCCACACAGGCGCCCTCTAATCAAGACTTTTTAAAGGTAGAACTTAAGAAGTGCACACATCATAAATGTCCAATCTATGTATTTTCACAAAGTGAACACACCTAAATAACCAGCATTCTAATGAAGAAATGGCATATCTACCAGCATCCTTGAAACCACTGCTCATGAACAGAGCGTACAGACTTATTACCCTGAGTGGAAACAAGAACAAATACCTCCTATGGGAAGTTGAAGAAAAGGGTGCCTGCGGGGCTTAGCTGGCTAAGTACCTGAATCTTGGTTTCAGCTCAGGTCATGATCTCACCGTCATATCGAGACCCAAGTCGGGCTCTGCACTGCATGTGGAGTTTGCTTCAGGTTCTCTCTCTCCCAGGGCACCTGGGTGGTTCAGTCGGTTAAGCGTCTGCCTTCGGCTCAGGTCACAATCCCAAGGGTCCTGGGATCGAGTCCTGCATCAGGCTCCCTGCTCAGTGGGGAGTCTGCTTCTCCCCGCCATACCCCGCTCATGATCTCTCTCTCTGATAAATAAAATCTTAAAAAAAAAAAAATTCTCTCTCTCCCTCTGCACCTTCCCCCCTCTAAAAAAAATGAAGTTGAAGAAATATTATTAAACTTCTGAAAATATTAACTCCACTACATCACTGTCCATACCCTCCTACCTTCCCAGCTTTCATACCAAATGCTGTAAAAATAGTTCATGTCTGAAATCACAGAACATGCAGGTTTAAAGAGTGTTTCATGTTTAAGAAGGCACAAAAGCCTAAGTTCCCAATCCCAAGAGGATATAATAAACTCCATATGAATGTGTCTAGAATTTAAATCTCAAAGATTAGATCCAAAATGGAGGGTGCTACTACATACCAGCTTTCAGCACCTTTTGGTCATCCAAGCAGTAGTAATAACAATACTGAAAGAAAATCATTACTGAGTGCTTTGGTGTGATGGGAACTATAAACTATTCTACACACTTTACATGAATATCTTACTGAATCTTCGTAACAACTCTGTGAGGTAAATATTATTATCCCCATTTTAAAGATGGGCAAAGTAAGGTAGAGAGGAGCTAGTGTGATCAAAATAATTTAGGGTGGGTCATCCAGCTTGGAAGTGTCAGAGGCAGGGTTCAAAGCCAGTCAGTCTATGTCTAGCACCACAGTGGCTCAGAATGAGTCTCTGAAGGAGTCTATGAATCAGCTTGGCAAGAAGTAATGGAGCTTATGAGAGACCCCAGTCAATTAGGCAGCAGGTTATAGTAGGACTTCAGACACCATTGCTCATGGAACTAGAGTTCTGTCATTATTCAAAGTCTGAGGAGATTTAGCATGCTAGTGTTGGGTTCTTCCTCAGCTCCTCTACTGTGCTCCCCTCTAACACAGTATTGCAGATAGTTTAGAAAATCTCCAAATTTGAGGCCATTTTCCTCAAGCAATGAATATTCTCTCAGTCAATCTCTAACACTGGCCTCTTGGTAATGATAGGCTTCTCTTAGTTCCAGGACCTTAATAATACCAGTGAGGTATTATTCCAACAAGGCTCAGAGATTGGGGTGCTTGGGTAGCTCAGTCGTTAAGTGTCTGCCTTCAGCTCAGGTCATGATCCCAGGGTCCTGGGATCGAGCCCCACAGCTTCTCCCTCTCCCACTCCCCTTGTTTGTGTTCCCTCTCTCGCTGTGTCTCTCCCCGTCAAATAAATAAATAAAATCTTTAAAAAAAAAAAAAAACAAGGCTCAGAGATATATTCTCTTCCATCCGAGAAAAGAGTTCCTTGCCTTCTTATATTATTATATTAATAACAAATATATTAATATGTATATTTAATGGCTTTAGACAATAAGTTTATTTTATGATCATAAAATCTAATGTGGGTAGACTTTATTGTCTAGTTATGTCATCTGGCATTGGCGGTCACCATGGAAAACTGATAGGGAAAGGGAAGAAGCACACCTACTGAGAACTGCTTCAGCCTAGGAGCTAGGCTGAACTAGGCTGAACTTCAACTGCTGAAGTCCTAACTGCAAAGGAAGCTGAGAACTATAGTGCCACACATGGGTATCTGGTGAATCATATCCGCTCACCGCATGTAGCTTACGTTTCTGAAGTTATCAACATTCTTGTTACCTTTCCTTGTTCTGGAGTATTGATCTTGGCATTCTGGTTGTTCAACTGTGAGTCTCAAATGTCACTGGCCATTTTCCTGGAAAACCTCCAAGCCCTTTTACAAGTTGTATTTCTGGTGGGGAATGCTGTCATCTCCCAGTGTGGATATAACCCTCTGTTCTAAAACAAAACAAAATGAAACAAACACCACGTTTTAATTTTTTCAAAAAACATTCTAAAAAAAAAACCATTTATTTTAATTTGAATGAATTTAATTTTGTAATGCAAGAAAAAAATATTTCCTATGATTTTCTCCTGGTGGCAGTGACAGAACTTTATAGGTGTTGGAAATAGAACAGTCCAGAAAATATACTGATTGAGCTCTTCTAACTAACAGCTTTGGTTCTAAATTTCCATGTTATTACTGATTAATATTCTGTAATTTCTGATCATTTTCTCCGACTTATGTGGTTTATATACCTTCTAGTCACTGGCTTTTTTTTTTTTTTGCTTTTTAATATTTTTTCTATTTAATTCCTCTTCAAATGAAATATTATAATAGTTCCAAATCACGAATATAGAATTTTAATGACAATAGTCTCCTTATGTCCTTGTATTGTGTCCTCAGAAGTTTTATCTTACATGGTTGCATTCAGAACTCATTATTTAACTCCATTTGCAAAGCTGAATAATATTAAAAATATCTTTGTTAATTACTTAAATGGAGTTTAATAATAATTTCCCCAGATGAAAATACTACTCTGACCCCCCCAGTGCAGAGACCAATTTAGTTGAGACTCCAAGAGATGTTTGAGGGTATATACATGTAGAGTAGATATAGTGAATTTTTTAGATGTATGCTTCTTTAGGATTTTTCTCTTTCAGATAGTCCACAGCGTACTTATTGTTCTCTGTTTCAGTGTTGATCCAAAGGACTCCTGATGAACAAGTGTTTGACAATAAGAGCTCCAAGGAGCACCTGGGTGGCTGTCATTAAGCATCTGCCTTCAGCTCAGGTCATGATCCCAGAGTCCTGGGATCGAGCCCCGCATCCAGCTCCCTGCTCAACAGTGAGTCTGTTTCTCCCTCTCCTTCTGATCCTGTCCCTCCCCTACTTGTTCTCCTTCTCTCTCTCAAATAAATAAAATCTTAAAAAAAAAAATAGTAAGGGCTCCAAGATTCTAGAACCAACCAAATACTGTAGGAAGAAACCCAAACCAAATGGCAAATTCAATAATTAAATTGGCCTCTGAATCGCAAGTGACTTGGGGCTAAACTGAATATCCTAAATATTGCACTAAAAAGAACATATTAACCTGGATTCTTTCAGCTGTAAATAAAATATACATATATATTTATGCATTATATACACACATACACATATATATCGACTCAAACTAGCTTAAGGCAAAAGAGACTGGAGAAGCCCAACATAACTGGCAAATCAAGGAACTGAACTAACTCAGAGCATGGCTGGATGAAGGGGTTCAAAAGGTATCAAGACCATGCCACTCTATATACCTCTCTGCTCAGCCTCATTCTTAGACATTTCTCTCCAAATGCAACAAGTGCTTGTAATCCCGATTATTACTGCAATAAAGCTGGTGAAGACCAATTGCCCCATCTCCTAAGGTGGGGTTTGGTAGGTAGGAGGGTTAGCCCTACCTAAACTGAGCAAGATTATTATGGAATGACTGAATAGCACCTTCTTTGTCAAAATTATGTTTAATTTTTCTTAGGCTTATTGTGGTTGTTTAATCATGACTATCTTTGCTTATATTTTCCTATTTAATATAATTTTATTTTAGTTTTTTGAGAGAGAGAGAGAGAGAAAGATAAATTGGGGGGGGGGCGGTGCAGAAGGAGAGACAGATAGAGACTCTTAAGCATGCTCCATGCCCAGCACTGAGCCCAATGCAGGGCTCGATCTCACAACTCTGACATCAGGACCTGAGCTGAAACCAAGAGTCAGACGCTTAAACCAACTGAGCCACCCAGGTACCCCTATTTAATATAATTTTAATTTGCCACCTTTAGTCTTTGGAATTCTACTTTTTACCTTTTATGGTACATATGTTGGTAATTTTACATTTTTGCTATTTCCAAACTATTTTTAAAAGTATCTGTCAAACAAAACAGTGAGGTTGGTCTATACTGTAAATCAGAGATATTACATGTCTCAGGTGTGATACTGGACAAAGTTCAAATGCTGTCTGCACTGCACTGGCCCTGCAGAAAGTCCTCTAGCAACTAATGATGCCTAGAAGAGTGCATGGCAAACTTTAGATGTTTCATAGATATGTATTGAGTCAATGACTGTCTTTCCTGTTTCTTTCTTATAGGGATTCCTTAACTATAAAATTAATCTACAAATTCAGTGAGAGTAGATTTCCCCCCTCCCCCACCATTTATAAATGAGAAAACTAAGCACGACAGGCTAAGTAACCTACCAAAGAATAATAGGTGATTCATTAGGTCAAATTCATCAGAATTTGTGCAAATATGTAATTTGATTGAATAGACATTTGTAGATGTTTACTATATGCAAACCACTCTGCTAGGACCTAGGGAGATAGATAATACACTATTCCTATTCATTAGGCATACAATCTAATTGGAAAAATGTGGAAACAAACTGAAACACAGTACGAAGTAAGTACTACTTAGAGGTAAGGTAACAGGAAGTACAGAGGAAGGTATGATTCATTATGATGAACACACCTCATAAAGACCTTTACAAGTGAGATGATTTTTAATATTCCCTTAATGGATAAATACGACTTTCAGAGACAAAGAAGGGAGAATGCTGGACTAATGTAATAATACAAGTCATAATTCAAACCAGTGAAAGTTTTAGGAAATTGGATATGCAGAGAAAATAAGTGATGAAAAAGTTGGCATCACAAATTTATTAGATGCCATAGATAGAAAAAAATTTTTCAGTAATGGTAGACTCTGACATTTTTGAGGAGAGACTTGCCACAGCTCCCCATACAGTTGATAATTTCTAGCTTAAAACCTTCCCAGTGGAGAAGGAATAACTAGCTGATTCAGTTATGGTGGGTCTCTCTATCCTCCCAACTTTCTCAGTCCAGTGCACCGTTTACAGGGGTGGGAATACTGCCCTGCCTAAACCTTGCCAAAATGAATACCTTCATTTTGACCTGACCCATTTCCCACTAGCTGGGCTCAGTTCTTGTTCCAGTGCCTTCATTTTACAAAGATCCCAGATGAGAAGCACTTGGGTGGCTCAGTGGGTTAAGCATCCAACTCGTGGTTTTGGCTCAGCACATGATCTCATAGTCATGGGATGGAGCCCCGCATAGGGCTCTGCATTCAACGTGGAATCTGCTTCAGATTCTCTCTCCTTCTCCCTCCTGTTCACTCTCTCTCAAATAAATAAAATTAAAAAAAAAAAAATCCCAGATGAAATCTCCATGATCTGTGCCAGATGGCTCTTAAGATGGATATCCATATTAGATCAGATGTCCCAGGGTCCTTAGCATCTGATCTTGCTTATCCCACCCCTCTTCAAATTTATACCTCATCTCTGCTGGGCTCCCTTCACATCCAAACCTACCCCATCATTTTTGTTTCTTTTATCTTCTTACTAATTTCCTCTAAGTTCAGCCCACCAAATGACTAGTATCATGCTAAGATAGTCAAACCACGTTGGCTGCAATAGCGGAAAAACGTTCTTCGTGTCCCAACACAGACTAAAAGGAGAATTAGGAAATAATAGCATTCTGTTGTTTTGTTGGTATATACTAAATAAGACAAAATGATCAGTCCCTTTGAGAAATTTTGTTTGGATACTAGATCAGAAAAGATTGTTTTCTGCTTCCTTTGATATTATAGGCATTTCGATCATGCTAATAACCATCTAGTAAACAATAAGTAGTCTGTACTTTTCAAGCCTTACAGATCTCAAAGCCTGAAAATGTCCAAATAGCAATCTAAAGCAGCGAGGCTAGCTAAATTATAAGAGTGTCCCAAAAGATGTACCTTCAATAAGGACATTACAATTCCAGTAACACAGGCCAAAAGAAGAATTTTTCATGTATTAGAGATTGGATTCAGATCATTTGCTTGACATCACCTAACAACTTAGAAAACAAACAAACCACTGCATCCCTGTTAGTGTTTCCTGAATGCTGAATGCAATCAATGGAAGTGATTGCTCCTTAAATGATAATGCTACCACTTCTTCCAAATAACATGATGGTCTTCGGCTTTCTGCTTCCATCTTAGTTTGTATGTCTAACTAAAATAAACATGGGGTTTACACATTTTCACTGCAGGATCATTAGCAATTTCCCTTCAGAGACAAATATTTTAAAATGTGGTTTCATCACAGGAGAATCTTCAATACATAACTTATGCATAAAGAATAAAAGGGTTAAATAAAAAACTATTTCCATTTCAAGAGAATATTTAAAGAAAGCCTACTATAAATTGGTTTCATGATCAAATTTCTTAACTAAAGTTCAAAATATCTTGGTACACTTTGACAATTTATTATTTTAACTATAGTTTACTTAAGTTTTAAATTTATTTAGATCACTTGTTTAGCTGTGGCTTTATTATTTTTTTAGTTTTATACACTTGCATTTCCAGTGAAAACATGCAAAGGCTCATTAATTTTTTTTTTTAAGATTTTATTTATTTGACAGAGAGAGAGACAGCGAGAGAGGGAACACAAGCAGGGGGAGTGGGAGAGGGAGAAGCAGGCTTCCCACCGAGCAGGGAGCCCGATGTGGGGCTTGATCCCAGGACCCCGACCTGAGCCAAAGGCAGACACTTAATGACTGAGCCACCCAGGCGCCCCAAGGCTCATTAAATTTAAATAGTATATAACAAAAGTGTAAACGGATGTTTGTATTGCTTTAAATCTAAATTTACAGACTTTAAAAATAAGAATTCTCTTGTTTCTGTTTAGTTTTGAAACTAATTTTAAATTTGGGCTGTCATATTAAAAGTAACCTTTTCAAAATGTGACGTATGGTTCAATACCTGTATCTAAAACCAAAAAGAGTCTCTTATTGATCTATTGATTTCTGAGGGCAATTATGGTGGTTTCAGACGTTAAAATTGCTATTAACTGCGATACTGTTTGGGCAGTGGCAAAGCCATGCTATTAGTTAATGTTCAGACTGATATTGATTGGCTTTTTCAACAAT